ACTCTAGGCCTGGAGTGGGCCGCCAGCCTTGCATGCGGCCTGTCTCTGGGTGTCCAGTGATGACTCCTGCACTCCTGTGTGTCCGGCTCCTCCCTTTAAGTCTGAAAACCTCCCCTCATGCCTTGCAGAGTGACCTGCCCTCTGGGCACCCAGGGTGCCCCAGAGCACCCTCCCCGCTTGTTCTCCCTCGCCCTGGCCCCTCTGAGGGGCTTGTCCTTCAAACCGCAACTCTGCTCCCTCTCCCAGGACCGCCCACCAGGTTGGATCCCCCAGGCTGACCCCTGTCCTATGTGAGCTGCAGGAGCTCTGGGGTCCCCGCGCAGCGCTCGCTCAGCCCAGGGTGGGCCGCTGGAGAGTGTGCACCCCCGGTGGGTTCCAGCTGCATTCCCCACGTTACTTCGATCTGGGCCAGGGGCCCGGGCCGGAGATGCCGCTGGTCGCCACCAGACAGCAACTGGGTCACCCCTCATTTGTATAGCGCTTTGCGTTTCGCTTGCGGTCGGAGGCCTCGGAGTCCGGCCGGCAGCGGGGTCCCGGCGCGCTGCGGCTTCTGTGCAAGGCCCGGGCCGTGGCACCCGGGACTGAGAGCTGCTTGGACGCCCGCCCCCAGCTCCCTACCGCGCTTCCCGGGCCGGACGGGGAAGGGGAGGGGGAGCGAGGGACGCAGGCGTGGGCCGAGGGCCGAGGGCCGAGGGCGGCGCGGGGGCACCGTCCCGGGGCTGCGATTGGCCGGCGCGGGGCGGAGCGCTCGGATCTGAGGGGCGGGGCGGCGAGGCGGGGGCGGGGCCTGCGAGGATTGGCGGGCAAGCGGGCGGGCAAGCGGGCGGGCGGGCGGACGCGGGGCGGGGCCGGGGCCGGGGCCGCGGCTGGCCGGCCGGTGTCCCTGGCGCGCCGCGGGTCCGAGCGGAGCGGCGCGCCCGGTGCCACCGCGGGCCGGGGCGCGGAGCCTGGAGCGGCCCCGGCGGCCCCGCGCGATGCGCCGCTCGAGCACGGACGAGTCCACGTACCGGCGCAGCCCGTCGCCGCCGGGCAAGGAGCCGGGCTTCGCGCGCGGCGGCCCCTTCTTTGGCCTGCACGCCAACCCTGGCCCCAAGGCGGCCCAGGCGCGCTACACGTCGCCCAAGGGCAGCAAGTACGTGGTCTTCTACTTGGACCTGTCCATCATCTTCCTCCTAGAGCTGAAGCGCTGCAGCATGGCGCGCGGCTGCCTGCAGGGCGTCAAGTACCTCATGTTCGCCTTCAACCTGCTCTTCTGGGTGAGTGGCGGCGGGGCCCCGGGGTCGCTGCTCGCGCTGGAATCGGGGGGAGACTCCCGCGACGCGGACTGGGGGGTGTGCCTGGGGTCGCCGGGGGTCAGGGCTGGACCGGCCCCTGGGGAGGGTTTCCGGTGCCGCTGGGGTCCGCCGGGCCTCTGCACTCTGGGCGGCCGCCCCGCGTCCTCTCTCCTCTCTGTCTCTTCCTGAGACCGGCCGTGTCCCGCACCTGCCGCAGGTCGGCATGGGGCCCTGCGCCTGGCCTCTACCGGGTGTGAGCTCCTGTCCGTGCGCTGAGCCGCTGGTGCCTTCCCCTCCCGCCCCTTCCCTCCCTCCTCGTGGGCGCAGACCATGTCCTTTCTGCACTCGCCTCCCCCGGCAGACCGGCCTTCCTGGCTCCAGGGACCGCACTTGGGGAGGGGCTGGGCGGGGGGG